CCCCCCGCGTGCACGGCTTGCGGGCGGCAGCCAGCAGCGCGGAGCACGGGGCGCCCTCCGTAGGAGGCTGCGGAGGGTGGCGCGGAGCTGCCCGCGCTCCAGGGCTTCTTGCAGCTCCGCGCCACCCCCGGATCCCGGCAGGAAGCCGCGCGGGGCTGCCTGCGCTCCAGGGCTTCTTGCAGCTCCGCGCCACCCCCCGGATCCCAGCGCGAAGCCGCGCGGGGCTGCCTGCGCTCCAGGGCTTCTTGCAGCTCCGCGCCACCCCCCGGATCCCGGCGCGAAGCCGCGCGGGGCTGCGGAGGGTGGCACGGAGCTGCCTGCGCTCCAGGGCTTCTTGCAGCTCCGCGCCACCCCCCGGATCCCGGCGCGAAGCCGCGCGGGGCTCCGGAGGGTGGCGCGGAGCTACCTGGGCTCCAGGGCTTCCTGCAGCTCTGCACCACCCTCTGGATCCTGGCGCGAAGCCGCGCGGGGCTCCGGAGGGTGGTGCGGAGCTGCCTGCGCTCCAGGGCTTCTTGCAGCTCCGCACCACCCCCCGGATCCCAGCGCGAAGCCGCACGGGGCTCTGGAGGGTAGCGCAGAGCTGCCTGCATCCCGAAGCCTGGTGCGCGCTGAAGAGCGCCCCCGGGCTTCACGCACCTCTCCGCAAGCCTGGGGAGACCAGTGTGGCTCCCTAGGCTTGCTGATATCAGGCTGTTCTGGGGTCGGGGGAAGCTTGGGCTTCCCCCGCGCCTGCCCCATGCCTGGGGAGGGGAAAAAATTTTTTTTCTTTATTCTCCCCCCAAAAAATTAGGTGCGTCTTATGGGGCGGTGCGTCCTATGGGGCGAAAAATACGGTAGTCAATATAGGCACAGAGTTAAATTTTTTAACATTTTCTAATGGTGGTGTGCCTCGAGATTTTTTTCATGAAACAAGTGTGCCTTTGCCCAAAAAAGGTTGGGAAACACTGGTGTAGAGGGATATATTGCATTGGTTCTTCATTCCACAGATCTTTGCCTGCTTGGTCTCCCTGTTTGCTTACATGTTCACTGAATGCTATTGCTTGTTATACCATTTCTGTCTTCTTTTTGGACAGGCCGCTAGGCAGACATTATTTGTGAGTAGTCTAAACAGCCCTGGGGTGCGGGTACATCCTAAACCAAGAGGGAACTACAGTGGTACCTAGGGTTGCATACGCTTCAGGTTACAGACTCTGCTAACCCAGAAATAGTACCTCGGGTTAAGAACTTTGCTTCAGGATGAGAACAGAAATCGTGCTCCGGCGGCACGGCGGCAGTGGGAGGCCCCATTAGCTAAAGTGGTGCTTCAGGTTAAGAAGAGTTTCAGGTTAAGAACGGACCTCCAGAACGAATTAAGTACTTAACCCGAGGTACCACTGTATACAGTAAATAGAGGAAGTAAAAAACGTTTATTAAGGGACGTGGGTGGCGCTGTGGTCTAAAACACAGAGCCTAGGGCTTGCCAATCAGAAGGTTGGCGGTTCGAATCCCCACGACAGGGTGAGCTCCCATTGTTTGGTCCCTGCTCCTGCCAACCTAGCAGTTCAAAAGCATGTCAGAGTGCAAGTAGATAAATAGGTACCACTCCAGCGGGAAGGTAAACGACGTTTCCGTGCGCTGCTCTGGTTCACCAGAAGCAGATTAGTCATGCTGTCCGCTGGCTCCCTCAGCCAGTAAAGCGAGATGAGCGCCGCAACCCCAGAGTCGTCCGCGGCTGGACCTAACAGTCAGGGGTCCCTTTACCTTTAAAATGCTTATTGATACTTTGTCTAGCGTCTAAAGAGCTTACTTAGGTGCACCCAAGGACTTGAGCAGACCTCTTCAGATGTTTTACTGTTCTTTCAACAGTGGACTACTATTGGCATATCACATTGAGCTTTTGGAAGTCCCACTCTGTTTCCAAAATGGTTTCTTATGCAGTGTGTGTGTGTGCACGCGCGCGCTTCTGCTGTAAAATGCAAGCACAAAGTCTTCTTAGGCATGCAAAAATTATTGTAGCATTATTTCAAGTATCAGATGCTTAACAGTTTGCCAGTCATAGCAAACTTTTGTATTTGTGGTCTCTAGAAGGTGGGAGGTGTGATCACATCTTATGGCATAATTTGATGGAACGCTCCCTGCATATTTCCCCATGATGGGGAACCTGATTTCCTTCTGGACTAACTCTATGGAATGGCAGTGGTTCCAATCTTCACTACAGGAAGAGAGCAGCCCTGGCCTTTGGGGCCACTGGCAAGTATGCTGGGCAGTATTTTATTCCCAGTGCTATTTATTATTGTTGCACGCCACCCCAATCTCTGAGCATTGTGAGGGTTCCAGGGACTTACACCTTTTGGAAAAATGAGGCACAGCAGAGACTGTTGTCTTTATGATATCTAGTTTATTTACACATATATACCACAGGTGGCGCTGTGGGTTAAACCACAGAGCCAAGGACTTGCCGATCAGAAGGTTGGCGGTTCGAATCCCAGCGACGGGGTGAGCTCCCGTTGCTCAGTCCCAGCTCCTGCCAACCTAGCAGTTCGAAAGCACGTCAAGTGCAAGTAGATAAATAGGTACCACTCCAGCGGGAAGGTAAATGGTGTTTCCATGCGCTGCTCTAGTTTGCCAGAAGCGGCTTAGTCATGCTGGCCACATGACCCAGAAGCTGTACGCTGGCTCCCTCAGCCAGTAAAGAGAGATGAGCGCCTTACCACCTGAGCCTATGGACTCCAGAAGGGTCTTCTATCTCCCATACCTACAGCCTTGGATTCAGACAGAAATCAAACATTGTGCTCTGCCTCTTTGACTTTTCCAGCCTTCAGCTGACATTACACACACTTTTCAACTCTAAACTCTGGCTTTTGTCCTTCTAACCACCTAAGAGCTACAAAAGCGGCCCCACCCATTTGTCATCTGTCCCATTGCTTTCTTAATGGCTCATCACCTTTCCTTCCTTCTCTTAATGGCCCATCAGGCCAGGCAATTACCACATGAGGAAGCTAGCATATTTTAACCCTTGCTCAATCCAGGGGGTCGGAAGCCTTGATCAAATTCTAACACTTACTGGATCCAGGTATTTGGCACCCTGGAACTCATAGCAATATCTGTGAGAAGCTGCTGGGAGCGGTCATTGGAAGTTTGGGGACAAGGTGCCATCAGTTTGCTAACGACACTCAGCTCTTTTTCTCTGTAACATTTAATTCCAGAGAGGCTGTGTTGGCCCTGAACGGGTGCCTGGATGCAGTGGTGAAGATGGATGATGGAAAAGCAAGCTCAGCTTGAATCCTGGCAAGGCCCTGTGGGCAAGTGATTCTTGTGTCCAAGAAATGGGCAACTGGTTTGCAAGTCTGGGGGTGCTTCTGGGTCCAGCTTTTGTCACTGGAGACCCAAGTAGCTCCAGGGACTAGAAGCGCCTTTCACCAGATGTGCTTGGTACAACAGCTTCAAGTCTTCCTGGACTGAAAGAGCTTGATCACAGTAGTTCAGTCATTTGTGACTCCAAGAATTGATTAGTCCAATGTGCTATTATTATTATTATTATTATTATTATTATTATTATTATTATTATTTATTTGTACCCCGCCCATCTGGCTGGGTTTCCCCAGCCACTCTGGGAGGCTTCCACAAAGACCAAAAATACAGTAATATGTCATACATTAAAAACTTCCCTGAACAGGGCTGCCTTAAGATGTCTTCTGAATGTCAGGTTGTTGTTTATCTCTTTGACATCTGATGGGAGGGCGTTCCACAGGGCGGGTGCCACTACCGAGAAGGCCCTCTGCCTGGTTCCCTGTAGCTTTGCTTCTCGCAATGAGGGAACCGCCAGAAGGCCCTCAGCACTGGACCTCCGTGTCCAGACAGAACGATAGGGGTGGAGACGCTCCTTCAGGTATACTATGTGGGGCCTCCCTTGCGCTTGATCTGGAAATGACAGTTAGTGGAGAATGCTGCAGCAGAGCTGCTGGCAGGAGTGCGGCCTTGCAACTGGGACAAGTTGAAGGTGCAACTGTTGGTACAGAAGGCTTGGGACCACTTACCCTATGTGGATGAAAAAGATCCCCATCTTATGCCTTTGGGTTCGACCTAAATCCCCCTCCCATGTTTCAACGGACCTTATTGTTGGATGTTAGTGCCATGAAATAACACTGCCGTGTGTCATTTTGCAGTATGAGGACAACAGAGAGTGCACTGGACTCACTTCAGAACCAGATGGGCTGGAAAGCCGCAGATGTGTGAACTGAGGGAGTCATGTACACAGAATCCCTGAGGGAAGCTTTGAGCAGATGTGCCGTGTCTGATTATGTCACCTGGTCCTTTCCCTTTCGGCTTTATCCTGGCCTCCTTCTGAGGTCATGCGAGCATATTCTGTGGCCATAGCGTATCCACCGCTATGGACTCTTTTTCTGGTGACTTTTCATATGCAGGCATACAGTTTCCAAGTTGTTAAGGGCTTTATATACTAACAGTAACACCTTGAACCTGGCCCAGTAATAAATCCACAACAAGTGCAGATCTCTGAGCACAGGTGTTAGGCGCTGACTCACTCCTGTCTGCAGTTGTGCTACAGCATCCTGCACCAACTGCAGCTTCTGCACCAAGTGCAAGGGATGCACCACATAGAGCACAAGCAAGGGGTTGGACTCGATGACCCTCAGGGAGCCCTTCCAGCTCTACAATTCAGTGAGATTCTACTGACGTTCAATTGCATTTCGTCTCTTGCTTTTTTCCTTCTGCAATCCTTTGTGCGCCGCTTGCTTTCTGTGCAGAACCGGTTGCTCCCGCATTGCAGCGGGTTGGACTCGATGACCCTCAGGGACCCTTCCATCCCTTACCATTCTAGGACCAGAAGGGAGATCCTGCCCCGACCGTGGGGGCGCGCGCCGTGCGGCTCCTTTAAGCGCTGCCGAGCCGGGCGGAGGATGCCGCTCTCGCGTGCGCGCGCGCGCGCGCGTGTGTGTAAAGGGGAGGAGGGGCAGCAGCCGCCGGCCTTGTGCAAGGAGCATGCGCCGTGCGGGCCGAGGCGGGAGGGGGCGGAAGAGCGCTCTCGGCTCCTTCTCGCCCTGCTGTCTGTCGAGCGGCAGCGGCGGCGGGGGACACCCGGCTCGGGAGCCATGCAGGCGGCGGCCGCCGAGCGCTAGCCCGCCCTCGCCTCTCCAGCAGCAGCAGCAGCAGCGGCGCGGGCGCTCCCCTGGTTGGCCGCCGAGCCGAGCTCGCCCTCGCCATGGGCAACGAGGCCAGCCTGGAGGGCGGCGAGGGCTGGGCCGGGCTGCCCGAAGGCGTGGCCGGCGCGGCGGACGGCGGCTCTCCGCGGCAGCAGGGCCCCCCTTCCGGGGCCGCGGCGGCGGAGCTGAGCCGGCTGAGCGAGGACGAGAGGAGGCAGATCGCGGCCGTCGTGTCAAGGGCGCAGCAGGGGCTGCCCGAGGGCGACGCGGCGGCCCAGAGGCTCCCTCAGCAAAGGCACGCCAAGGCCGGGGAGGGGGGGCGGGCGTGGGGGGGGGTGGGGGGCGCTTGGGGGTCGCCATAGCCGAGGCGAGCTCCTCCTCTTCCTCCCCCTCGCTGAGGGGGCTGCCCGGCTGCTCGCGCCCTTCTTCGCCGCGGGCCCGGGGGTGGGGGCAGTGGCGTAGCGTGGGTTGTCAGCACCCGGGGCAAGGCAAGTAATTTGCGCCCCCTAACCCGTGGATTTGCGCCCCCTAACCTGTGGATTTGCCCTAACCCCAGATGTTGCGCCCGGTGCGGCCGGCCCCCCCTGCACCCCCCACGCTACACCACTGGGTGGGGGGCAGAGCGAATGGGGCGCGTCCCGTGCCAGCCCCACCGGGGAGCAGCCTCCGCCGGCGCCCCTGCGCGGCAGCTAAAATGGAAGCGCCGAGCGCTGCTCTCCCCGGAATGAGAGAGAGAGATTCCCAAGTTGAAAGCCCGGCTCTGTCTCTGGGGCTGGAGAGAAGGCGCCTCAGACCCGGGGCGAAGGAGATGGGGCGGGTGCTGAGGAACCACGGACCTCCAGATCCGGGGGGGGGTTCTTTGCTGCCTCTTCCTTTTTTTGGGGGGGGGTCCGGGGGGGTCCTCTCCCATTTATGCTGCCAGGGAATCGCGTTGACGGTGGAGCAGCGCCCGCTGCTACCTCGCCTGGCCATTACGAGGCACGTAATTTCAATTTCCGCTGTCCGTGGTGCTGAAAACGCTCGCTTTTCTATAGAGGCCTTTTTGGTCTTATTTAAATTTATTTTTGATATTTCTCATCCCTTTCTATTGCGCCGGGAGACAGAGCTGTGCTACAAAATATCTTATTTCCCCCTTTCTCTCCCCCCCGTTCAAATCCTATCCCTCTGAATCCTTTTATTTTCCTAAAGGAGCTACCTCACACCATATTGACAAATTCCTCCTATTCCATTAACAGTTACCAGTTATGTTCCTGTCTCATCCTGGATACGGTATTTCCCCACGTATATGATGCCCCCATGTATAAGACACCCCCTATTTTGGGGGACTCCAAATTAAGAAGACACCCCTCAGTACTACCCGTGTATAAGACGAGCCCCAATTTTAAACCGAATATTTTGGTTAAAAAACCTGGTCTTATACACGGAAAAATACGGTAACTGCCAAATAAATTGTTACTCTGTAAAGCTCATCAGCGCTTGATAAATTGAAATTAAATTAATTTAAAACAACAATTTAAAGCAAAAAGGTTTTACATCTCCCCCCCGCCCCCCATTCTACTTGAAACTATTTCTTATTTTAATCTCTGGTTTTTGCTAATTTTAGGTATTCCAAAATTTATAAGAGAATGAGTAGGATAGCCACAAATGATACACATGGTCATTTTTGTGACCCTCCATGTTCTCTGTTCACAGGAGTTTGGGAGATTTTCCTAGTGTGTCCAGGCCCTTGTACCTTGTGGTGTGACTATTAAGGATGCTCATTGCTGTTGATAAGTTAGATAGTGCGCTTTGATTTCTGATCTCCTTTTTTCTCCATTCCTTCCCTGGATCTCTTTAAAAACTATGTTAAAAATGTAGATAGACAGGCACATTCTCTCTCTCTCTCTCTCTCTCTCTCTCTCTCTCACACACACACACACACACACACACACACACTACTTTAAAAGAAAAGCAAATGCAAAGTTTGCCTTAGAGTACCATCTTAAACATGTGGTCAGAAGTAAGTCCCACTGAGTTCCGTGGGGTTTGTCCTATAATTTGTTTTCACTTCCCATAGTGAAATTGACTAGATCTGAAGCAACTTGTCTTGTGGTTCAGTCAATTTCCCACAACCTTGATGGAAAGCAGCAGAAGATAGAAATTAGAAAAGCTGGCTGACGACCTCAATATCAGCCTCCCTACCTGTCTGCACAGCTATCAAGCTACAGATTTTTAATCAGGATTAGTGTCAGGATTAGACTGAATTTGCACCACAGTAGTAACCATCTGCATACAGATTCTATCATATTAATAATAAAAACATCAGAAATATAATGCTTAAGAGCCTCAAAATATTTCATTTATTAATAAATTATTATGAAACGATTTCATAATATACCAATTGCATTTGTAAAAACTGTTTCAGCTACCAGCTGTGATAAAAAAACTAATCCTTAATTCACACTGCAACAAGAGTATAAAAGAATCCCTAAATCATATTTGGTGCTGGTACTTATTTTATTGAAATAACATTAATGCGCTATCTACAGATTACCTAAGTGTGGAGATATATACTGGATGTGTGGCACAGACAGGTGCTTTTTTTCACAATACAGGGAAGAATGAGTCTTGTACTGAGGTTACCTCAAGGTCTATTTCCATCTTGCACATTCAATAACTTTGGCATGCTAATTTAAAATGGTTTATTATTTTAGATTAAACCTTGAATCATTACTAAACTGTTCACATCAATATATTTCCGCCAACCTCAGGTTCCAAGTAGTGGCATGCAAGTTATCCTTTTAATTCAACAGTTTGCAAGGGAAGTGCACTATCGGAGAAGAAAATTCAATGTATTTGTGTTGCCAATTTAGATTCAGTTTCATCTCTAAAATCACAGAATTTTAATTTGGTTTAAATTTCCATGATAGATTGGCAGTTAATCCATCTTGTAACAGTTTTGACTTCAGCAGTAAACTAAGAAAGCAAAAGCTTTTTATTAAAGTTTTTAAAATAATAGTAATAATTTATTAAATTTGTATATCACCCTTCATTCAAAGTTCCCAGGGTGGTTCCATCCACCTTTTGGAAGGAAACCTTCCATTCAGTGTGAATTAACAAATGACAGAAGTGGAAAAAACCGTCATTTCCCCTCTTTGTGATTTATGTATGCAATTATTTTAATTCTGCCCTTCAATTAAATAGTTTTCAGAACAATTTTCAATGAAATATAAAACAATAATAACACCATTGCCACAATTGCTGTTTATAGCTGAGGTTAAAATCCATCCAGCAAAGATGAGATTAAAATCACCATGATGTTTGGGGGGAAAATTAAAAGCTCTTACTTAGTGTGTAAAATATAGCAGCACAGGCAGCTGGCAGGTCTCTAACAAGAGTGAATTCTAGAAATGGTGAATCAGAACCAAGAACAGCCTCTCTTCTGTCACCTCCAGCCTCATGTTAGATGGCAGGGGCACCTGGATTAAGGCTTCCAAGGCATATCTTAATTCACCTGCTAGTGTACCCCATAAACATGTTTCCTTCGTTAATCTAATTTAAAAATGACCATAGTGGCTGATACTGTAAAATTATTTAACTCTGAAACAGAGAAGAACTCAGACGTTCTTTTGGATGGTGGGGAGCAAAGGTTTTCCTTAAGATCAGGGCTAGTCAAGGTGAGGCACCTGCCTCAGGCGGCAGATCCCGATGTTGACCTTTCACTCCCTCTCCATTGTTTCTGATGTAGATCTTCACTCACCCCTTCTTTCCTTGAGGAAAAGGGTGCCATTTTGGGGTGCTCCTCAAGAGCCAAAATATCTTGGGCCAGCTCTGCCTAAGGTAGCTGAGTACTCCCTCAAGTATATCAACATTCCTTTAGGGTTTGGTTTGTATACATAGGCAAACTGGGCCCTCCAGATGTTTTGGGACTACAACTCGCATCTTCCCTAGCTAACAGGACCAGTGGTCAGGGATGATGGGAATTGTAGGCTCAAAACATCTGGAGGGCCGAGTTTGCCTATGCCTAGTATACATAATGTTCATTTCTAAATGAGTTATCTTAAATGCAGTCTAAATGTATCTTGAGATGTCATATTCTCTAAACCTAAAACAGTCACTGAAGTATTTCATACGCCATGAAGATTGTTTGATGGGCCTTAATCATAAATGATGAACTTTTATTATGTAGTCAGCAAGAATCTGTATGTAATGAGATATAATCCATTTTTATTTTTTACTTTACACGGGCATTGCGTTGTCCTTGTCTCCACATCTTAGAGAAATAGTGAGCAGGACAGGGAATAAAGTTATCATTTGACTTTGGCTTAGAAACAACAAGGTTGTTATGGACCTCTATTCTAGTAAAGATTTGTGTATATTCATTTATTTCTGATATCTTTATACCACCCTTCAGTAAAAATTCCAAGGGTCATTTATATAAGAAAGCGGGGGGGAGCATCTCTTTACAACTTGGCAGAAGTAAGCGATGTATCTTTTGCTATTTTATGAAAGATTGTAAAAAATGAGGCCTGGTAGAGTCCTGCTTTCTTCATTTCTCCATTGATCTACTACCTTCAGGCTAGGTACAAAATATAAGCAGGCCCAGGTGAGTTAATTTTGCCTCATGTCTGTTCGAACAATTTTAAGGAAATGATTCTTAAAGTAATTTTATGAAAATTATTCTTAAACTCCACTCTGCAGATCAGCACAGCCCACAGAGCACTTTCTTGTAGTACCCAAGGCAAGATGAAAACGAGTATTTTTGACAAGCAAATCATAGTGGATGCTTTCTAAAATTCATGTTTTTTGCTGCACACTTGGGGTTAAGGGAATGGAATATTGTTGCTAGGCAGCAGGTAGACACTTCTAGGCTTGCAAATTCTCCACATCAGCCGTAAAAAGGTGATCTAGCGCATGCACAAACCTAACCACCCACTGCGATGCATTGTAGTTTTGATTCAAAAACCTTCCAAGGCCATGCGTATTGTGGACATAACATGTTTTTGTTTTAAACGCAGCCTAGGGAAGCCTAAAGAGTTTTAAGAACAGCTGGTCGAGGTTGTAGTTCAAAGCATACTTACTAGAGTGTAAATCTCATTGACCTCATTGGTACCTACTTCTGCATAGCTATGTTTAGGATTGTGTTGTACTAGCTTCAGAAGAGGAGCAACCATGCTAGCCTCCTAATACAAAAGGGCAAAAACAAAAAACTTGTGTGGTTCCTTAAACACTGACGAACGTATTGTGACACATGTTTTTGTTAGCAAGAACTCTAAGTAGGCTGACATTAGGAAAACCTATAATTATTATTATTAT